GGTGTCTCTAACAGGAGACCCATTGCGGAACTCAAACCCAAAATGGGTCTCCAACACAATGTTTATAGCCTCCAACATACTACCTATATGGAAGACTTATTTTGAGTGCTAGGAGAGGCATAACCTAAATCTGAGTATCCTCTCTCCTGAAGACCCATTTTCAGAAAGGGTTGTCTTTTTAGTCTCGTTGTTGGAGAAGATAAAAATTGATATTGAACCATTTGCCTGTAGCGCTACCCAAAGGACGAATGGATCTTGTATTTTAGGTCGCAGTTGTTGGAGACTATCTTAGGACACCCGCAATAGTAAGAGTCAGATACTAGCTCTGAGCCAACCTCTCCAATAATGTTATCTTTTAGCAATGATTCATAGTATGATTAGGCTCAATGACACTCTCAAATATTTCTGAAATATTTGTATGAACCTAACTCTTAATAAAAGGTAACTTTTATCTCTCTTCTATAAAATATGAAAAAAAAAAAAGAAGAAATAACTTATAAGTCACCTCTTGCGAGTGCCCTTAAGGCTTCTCCAACGACGTGGCCAAATCGCCTGCAGATGTGGAGGGAGAGAAGATTAAATAAATAAAAAAAAAAAAAAATAGGAATCCACTTCACAGGAGAACGTGGGGGAAGTAGACAGATACTGTTGATTTGTTAGGCAGTGTGCGTGCTAGGCGATTTCTTCGTCGCTAGCGTCATGCTTTCAGATGCTCTCTCTCCACGTGTGACAAAAGCTGATGCCAGCTAGCTATTTCGACAACCGTTGAGGGCGCCCTTAAAAAGCATGTGTGCTCCCGAAACTCCATCCTGCTCTATCCAGAGCTCCCGTTCCATACGAGATCTGGAGAAAAATATTACTAGTAAATCTTATCCTCTTCTATATAATACGAGGAGACCGTGACTTAAAACCTAAGATTTTCTAATCACAGACGATAAGACTCTACCGCTTACATCAGCCCGTCCTTCAACTCGATCCTGCTGTAACTAATAAAAAAGAAATTCAAAGTAACACACGCGAATCAAATGGGCGAGTACGACATCAGCGACTTTCAATTCCTCCATGCTTGTGCGATTACAAAGGGCAAAAGATTCTTTGTACTATAAATTTACAAGAGGGTACTTTGGGACTAATAAATTATAAAACAAAACGAAGAATAATTTTTCTTACAAACACTAGCATGAACAACTACAATGTATATGGATCAACCAGTCTATATAGATAAGTCTCACAACATGGGTCAATAGTAAAGTTAGAAAACACAATGTACATGGACCGATTGTCAATAAAGCTGGGTCCCACGCCAAAATAAAAAAAAAATCCCACGCCCTCAACTTCCTCTTTGCTGCGCGTGAGCCACAACTCTTCGTAAAAAAAAGTCTGCAACCGCTACTTATCTCCGCCCCCGATCTCTCTCCACTCATTGAATCCAACCATGCCCTTCCCCTTCTACGTCAGATCTCCAACATCCCTGCTCAGGTCAGACAGCAACCTACTTAGATCGGGCGACCTCGCATGCCACCGACGGCTGGCACCCACGCGAACTTCCTCCTACCGCCTCGGACTCTAGCTTCTTCGTGCTCGGTGTGCACATGGTGGTGGCCGCGCGGATGCCTGTGGTGGTGTCCTCGCGGGCGGCGCGCGCGGATGTATGTGGTGGTGTCCTCGCGGGCAGATGGCTACGACAGCCTCGCGGATGACCGGGCGACGGCCTCGTGAGCGGCGGGGACGAACGGGGCGGCGCGTGGATGGCTGGAGCAGCGCCCTCACAGTCAGCACAGAGGGCCAAGGCGGTCGGCGCATACAGCCGGCAAGAGCAGGAACGCAGGAGAGAGATGGAGGGAAACTGAGAAAGTAATATTTCTCCCCTATGGGTGGACCATGAGCAACCACATTGTTGCTCAAAAGCAGTTCATAGCGATTAAAATAATACACATCAGTTAGCTGAAACACTATGAGACTAGTCCATAGAGTAATCCATAGTAAATGTACCCATAAGCGTATGAACTACCCATAGAAAATTAAAAATGTTACTTTTTCTTACTCCTCCCTCTCTCTTTCTTGATCTTACACATGAATGGAAATGATGAATTTTTTATATTAGATGGGACCCACCTTATGGACTATTTGTTGGCTAAAACATTGTGAAAACAAAACAATAGTTATTAACTTATCATGTGGGTCCCATGTATATGGACTACTTGGTCCACATACATTGTGGTTGCTCTGCTATGGACAACTTTAGCTATAGACAAGTGGCGGAGCCAGGATTTCAAGGTCAGGTATTCTCACTTCCACATCGAAAAAAAATCCATCCATAGGTTCAAAATATAATTGAGAGTAGTACACTGCTAATTAAATAAAGTTTTAAATAATAGTCAAATAACAAATTATTTAGCTAATCGGCTCTCAGATATACATGGAACAAACTTAGTAATAAATAGGCAGAGGTGAGACTTCAGACTGGATATGCTAAAAAAAGACTTCAGACTGGAGCAGGAGTGCTGGACAGCTTGAATCTGGAGGTAAAGGAGTGGAGAGACAGCGGCCACGGCCAGTGGCTCGCCCTGCAGCTGGCCTAGGAAGGTGGAAATTCATAGGCCAGGCCGTTTTTCTCAATGATTTGGACTGCAATGAGCTAAAACAGGACAGCAAATTACAATTCACATATATATACATAAGTATATATGCACATATATGCATATAGATGTCCCAAAAAAGTTAGGTATTCCAAGGAATACTTGGAATATCCTTGGATCCGCCCATGCTATAGACTACCTTATTGATGCGGCCACAATGTTTAAGACAGTCTATTGGGAATAATTTAGTCACTGTAGACTGCTTTTGGAGCACATTATAGTTGCTCTAGGTAAAAAATAGTAAGGGCTTCTTTGGATCCCACCAGTTTTTGCAGTTTTTAAAAATCTGACTTTTGGAAAACTATGTGAGATCCAAACATGCCCGTTTTTGCTGCCGTTTTTTGAGAAAAAAAATTTAGAGTTTGTGGAGCACCTCTTTAGGTGCTCTTACAACTACATTTTTTTCCTCGAAAAACTGAAGTTTGTGGAGCACCTCTTTAGGTGCTTCACCCTTTTTCCTCGAATAAAGTGCATGGAGTTGAAACCGTTTAGCTAAAAAATATGGAGCGAAGCTTAAAAAGTGGAGCGGAGCAGTCCCAAACACCCCCTTAATGTCATAAATCTTAAAGTTTTCTCTATAATTTTAATCAAACTTGATATACTTTGACTCCTTAAAAAGTTGGAATGACTTATAATTTGAAATAGAGGGAGCAGTGTTTTTCTTATGGTATGTTAGTTTTTTAAAACATTGTTTCTAACCTAAATCGTATAGAGTCGCATTCATCTTAATAGTATGGCATTTTCTAAAATCAAATGATTTGACATGGAGTAGTAGTCCGTTTTGAGGTAGACCTTTTATGACCGGTAATTCAGCCAAAAATGTGAAGAAAGTGGAGCATGCTTGGTTTACTTCTACTTCAGCTTGGGCACATTGAGACCGAAAACCGAAACCCCTACCGAACCGAACTGTCGGTTTTTTGGTTTCGGTTTCTAATCCTGGACACTTCGGTGTTCGGCTGCGGGGTCGGTTTTTGACTTGAATGAAACCGAATAACCGAGCAACCGAAGTTAGCAGCAATCTCCCAATCTTCAATGGGCGATGCATGCAGCCAGCCCACCAAGGCCCACCACACACCGCTGGGCAGGCCTTGAGGGCTGAGGCCTCTCCCAGTCTCCCTCTCTCGGACCCCTTCTCCTTCAGTCCCTCTCCCATCTGATCCGACTCAAAATCCGAACCCCTAAATTCAGTCGGCTTCGGTAGCGGCGCGACTGGGAGGCGGTCTGGCGGAGCACGGAAGCGGCGGCGGGCGAGGCGAGGCGCGGAGACGCGACTACTGCGAGCTGCGGCGGTGCGACTAGGAGGCAGTCTGGCGGAGCGCGGAAGCGGTGGCGGGCGAGGCGAGGTGGAGGCATGCTTTCGGTGGTTGTCTGCGGCATGGTGCTCCCACTTGATAGCGATGGCGGCGGTCGCCGATCGATGCGAAAGCAAAGCGGCTGGCAGGTGTAGGTTTCGGGTTCAGGCGCGTATGCGGATGCGAAAGCGATCGCGAGGCAAAGGTAGGCTCGGTTTCTCGGTTTAAACTGAAAAATCGATGTAAAAAAACAAAACCGAAATGATCGGTTTTGCATTCTCTGGTAAACCGATCGACTTCTCATTCTTGGAAACCGAACTTCTGAGGAACCGAATAAACCAAACCGAAGTGTCGATTTAAACCAAATGCCCGGCGTGACTTCTACTTTGCTTTTTTTTTAGGAAGTGACTTCTACTTTGCTATGCATAATTTCTCTTTACTCACAGGTCCTCGTGGGGAAAAAAGAAAAGAAGAAAAGAAACAAAGAAAAAGAAAAACTGCATCCACCATCACTATCCCCGTTATACAGGAACAATCGGGTGATCGCATCAAGTCGGGCATTTGCCGTCCACCTCGTCTAGGCTGGTCCATCTTTAATGTAGTGACACGTGTCCTTGAACACCTAACTGAACACTGTTCCTTCGTGCTCACATTCAGTCCACTTCAACGTCACGAATGAACATATTGGCCCATTCGCGGACACGTACAGCGAACGAGTTGCCATCGTCATCGTTCGCGCCTTCATGGATCCGAGACGGTCGCAATCACGAACAGGGCAGAAATCGCGGCACCGCCGCTAAGGTCAACTCGAGACCAGCTGCCGCGTCGGACGTGGCCCGTTCTGATAGCGTGTGTGGCCTCGTGCCCTGCTGCCTCGTCTTTTTTTTTTCCCCTGCGGAGAAGGGAAGAAAAAAGAAGGGGGAAAGCCGAGCCAGCGCGGCGCCCGCGGACGCCGAATCCACCTTGACCGTTGGCGGCTCGGCATCCCAAATCAGACGCCTTCCTCCCTCGCTGCGCCGGCCAAGCCAAGCAATCAAGGGGGTGTTGGTCCGTCCAGCGGAGGGTGAGCATGGTGAGGGCCCTCGACCGCTACTCCTCCGGCAAGGATGTCGCCTACAGGTTCGCCCCCGGCTGGATGCTCTCTCTAGTATGCTCGGGCCAAGAAGCAAACCCTTCCCTTGGGCTGGTAGGATAGTTCTTTGATTAGTTCCTAGATAGTACTAGCTTCTTCCCTGTTTCCAGGAAGTGGCTTCTTCCCATTCAGCTGGTGTTTTTCACCTGATTTTTGGCCCCGAAGCGTAGTTTTTATCTGGCAAATATCATTCGTGGTGGGTGTACTTGGGGATTGAATCTGAGAATCAAGTTATTGGGTTCAGGTGATGGTAGTTACTAGTAGATGTTTACTCCTTTGGTTTTAGTTAGTGTCGCCACTTGCCAGTGATTGGTGGCCCTGCTTACGAATCGAACTGGATTCATCGATAAAAGAGCACACAAGATGTATCAACCACACTGAATCCATTGCCGGGTTCGTCATTCAAAAGATACCATCACCTGTGTGCGAGAGGAACAAGAGCCCAAGTAATTGCCCAGAAAAAAGAAGATTTATTATGATACTATGTGGGTACTAAAAGAAATCAAAAATAAGAACCACGTTTTGGCCTAATTAAACGTATTATGTGACAATGAATGAAAACTAATGTGCGGCGATTCTGGCCTCAACTAAACGAGGCCTTATTATGTGGGAAGCAATAGAACCAGGAAAAGTAATGTGGCAATGAATGGAAACTAATGTGGGCTCATGAAAATTAGGTCCTGATGCTTAGTGCAGACAAACAACGCTAGAGCATAATTTAAGCATATGAAGTGTGGTATAGTAGTTTCAATTGAGAGAGCATGTAGGTCAATATTTGGTGATAATCTTTAATTTGTTTCTTACTGGCAGCTGTGGATACTGTGGCTATGCATTAAACTTGAGCTCCTCCGCACGGAACACGGCAAACATTGGATCCAAGTATGGCAAGCACATCAGGAAAGGTGTTGTCTCATTCTTTGCAATCGACGAGAGCCGCTTTACACATACTGACGAGGTGAGCTGCACGCCATACTTCCATTCAAGCCGTTCATGGGGATTCTTCAGAAATAGGACGCGATTGCTCTGCCGGAAGTGCAGTGGTCATATTGGTAATGCTTATGAAGATGAGGATCCCACCTTGTGCGAGGGGTCAGATGACCTGGACATGAGCTCCAAGGGCAGCAGCACATCCCCTCGGAAGAAATATGTTATTAAGATCAATGCACTGCAGCCCTCATCAGACGACTCTGGTGCTCTCTTCTCCCCGTGACGATAATCTGAACTCTGAACTGCAGCCATGTGTACCTTTTCAAGTCCACTATACTGCAAACAGAGTAAATGCAGAACCAACAAACAAGAAGTGCTCAATATCTTCAAGACCTTTCTATATAGGAATTTGCTATGTTTGTTCTATTTCAATTATCTTCCCACACATACTCTATTACAGAGTAGCCCCTATATTTCCTTTGTGCAGATACCTTGACAGGACTAGTGAATTTTTATTGTGTTATTAATACTACTGTAAAATGATAGGGTTTTTGTCTCTAGTGTACCTTGTCTCTGGAGTGTTTGCATTATTTTTTCTGAAGTTCACTGCCTTTGCAATTTCGAGACTTCTTGTATCGCATATTCATCAGATACATATGTTACTTTGTGTCTGTGGATGTGCATGGGTGTGGCATGCTGCATGCAGTTACAAATATTAAAGGAACAGAGTAGTCAGTGTATTGGAATATTGTACACTGTATTGAACACTGTCTATTGAATTTTTGTCAGTTATTTCGTGAGCAAGGACAGCTACTACATTCTGAAAAGATTAATCGAAATCTTCAGTTATTTCGTGAGCAGATCAGATTTTTGGTATAGACAATTATTGTCTAGCTACTACATTCTATGAAAAGATTAATCTCGAAATGCATGTGTCCAAAGATTTGATTTGTGAAAAAACAATTGCCTTGATATATATGTTCAGATTAATTTTGTACTAAGCTGTTGTTGATGTGACACATTTTCTATGATGGATTATTCAATAGGTCATGGAAATAATAGACATCTAGCTTGATCCAGTTCATCACCACTGATGTTCCTGTTTACTACTCAGTTATTTTTTCATTGGCATCACATGAAAAGGAAAATAATTTGTATTCAGATGATTCATTTGAGTATGACATCTTCCACAAATCCTACCCAATTTCAGCAACTGCCCAACCCTTTCTGATACAGGTACGCACAGAACCAGAACTTGGTTTTGCTAGGATTCCAACTTCCAATTGAATCCCTAGGGCACACTAGTAATGAAACATGGAAAAACTAGCATGTAAACTGCATCTGCTTTTCTTTATCACAGATGGCACACTTCACGTGAATACTGAGCGAGCTTGGGCAAACAGGGCACAATCATCAATCACTAGATCAATACTGACCTACGGAACCAAAGTATCCAAATCTGCAATCAAACAAACCTGACGCTTTCACTTGCAGGCCTGAGGCATTGAAACTGCAAACAAAAGACGAGCACCAGTTTTCCATCGTAACAACAGGATTCACGAAACAGAAAAGCCGACCACAATACATTCATTTGCATTGAAGAGTAACGAGTTGCACAACAAACTTTATTTCCAATATCAGATGCACAGAATTTCATTACTGCTTCATGGTTCAGATAAACCTGCTACAGTCTTACGATTCAGATAAACCCAGCCAGAGATGAACTAACAAGAGTTCCTGAAACATTCTTGACCGCAAGACTTGTGGGCACGGCAAGACAACGTCGCAGCTGCAGAAGGGGGGAGGGGGACATCGAGGGGAGTCAATCAGCCTAGCCGCCGAAGCCGTAGAGGGTGCGGCCCTGGCGCTTGAGCGCGTAGACGACGTCCATGGCGGTGACAGTCTTGCGGCGGGCGTGCTCGGTGTAGGTGACGGCGTCGCGGATGACGTTCTCGAGGAAGATCTTGAGCACGCCGCGTGTCTCCTCGTAGATGAGACCCGAGATGCGCTTGACGCCGCCCCTCCTCGCCAGCCGCCGGATCGCCGGCTTGGTGATGCCCTGGATGTTGTCGCGCAGCACCTTCCGGTGGCGCTTCGCGCCGCCTTTGCCGAGCCCCTTGCCACCCTTGCCGCGCCCAGACATGGCTTCTTCCGCTCGGGTGGGTGGTGGATTTCCTCGGAGATTGTAGGCGGTACTGAAGGTGAGATTTGTGGTGCTTGGAGTGCGGGTTGGGGGAAGAAGGGGAGGGGTTTAAAAGGAGGCGAGCGGTGGGAGGAGGGCGGTGGCTGCCGTTCGATGCGGAGGGAATGGACGGGTGGGATGGGCACGCGGGGTAGGATGCCGCGGATCGCTGACGTGGAGTGAGGCGCGGATCGCTGACTCGGCGGAGCGGGTCTCAAATTTCGTACGCGGAGGCGCGCGCTTGAAAGCTTGGGGCAACCGGGAAACTGCCAGCCGGGCTGGGATGCGCGGTTTCGTGGATTCGTTTTTATTCCGGGTCATAAATTTTTGCATGCTACCTCCGTTTTGTTTAAATTGCAAGGCTACCTCCGTCTCCAGATAATTCTTTGTTTTAACTAACCAAAAAGATTCGTCTCGTGATTTACAACCAAACTGTGTAATTAATTATTTTTTTTTACCTACATTTAATGCTCCATGCATGCGTCCAAAAATTAATATGATGGAGAGAGAGTGAAAAAACTTAGAATTTTGAGGCAATCTAAACAAGGCCCAAATAATTATCTTTTCTGTGCTATAAGTTTGACTAAATTTATATAAAATACATGTAATATTTGTATTTCTAAATAAATTTATTATAAAAACAGATTCAATGATCTATCTAATAATATTTTTTTATACCATAATTATTAATATTTTTTATATATTTAATCAAAGTTTTCTCATGAAGCAAAAATGACAAGTTATTTAGGGACTGAGGGAATACGCCAAGATGACACAGTGAATTTTAGGACGGCAGAGCGTCGCGCTAATTTACATTCTTTCCTTCACTTGCTGCAATTTTTTGCAAAAAAAAAAAGTTTTCTTATATATTTCCCAGTAATGATACATAAAAAAGAAAAAAAAAATTGTACTACTATGTTTCTTTTTCTTTTCAAAACAATAAGAACAATAACGCTCACATACACATGTATTCATCTTTGTAAACATACGTACGCAAGCTTACCTATCTGTATAGGTACTTTTGAGAGATTGAGCTAATAAATCTTAAGATTCATAAAATCATCTGGCCCTGTTCATTTCGCTGAAATTTATCTTATGCTGATAATTATACTGATTTGTTATGAGAGGAAAACATTGTTTATTCGCTGAAAAATACTACTGAAGTAGGTGAAAGGTCCTAATATGGCTAGAGGGGGGAGAATAGCCTATTTAAAAAATTACAAATCAACTAGAGCAATTTGATTAGAGCAATTTGATTAGTATGACAAATAGCTAAATGCAAACTTGCTCTAACTCTACAAGGGTTTCAAGCCAGTTATCCAACAATTCTAGTTATTATGATCACTATACACATAATTTTGCTAAGTCACTACTCACTAAGAATTCTCACACTTGCTACATTAAAGAGCTCCACTATATAAACTTAAACTACAAAGCAAGCTCTCAATTATAACTACATTAAAGAGCTTGCTACAACTAATTTACGAGAATATAAATAAGTGAGTAGGATGATTATACCGTCCGCGTAGAGGAGTGAACCAATCACAAGAATAATACCAATTCAATCACCGGGAGAATAACAAAGGGTCAAGAGACAATCAATTTTTCTCCCGATGTTCACGTGCTTGTCGGCACGCTAGTTCCTGTTGTGTCAACCAACACTTGATGGTTCGGCGGCTAAGAGGTGTTGCACGAACCTCGTCCACACAATTGGACACCGTAAGAACCCACCCACAAGTAAGGTAACTCAATGACACGAGCAATCCACTAGAGTTATTTTTCGGTGCTTCATCGGAGAAGGCACAAGACCCCCCCCACAATCACCGTAATCGGAGCCGGAGACAATCACTAACCTCCGCCCGATGATCATCTTGTTGCTCCAAGCCGTCTAGGTGGCGGCAACCACCAAGAGTAACAAGTGAATCCCGCAGCGAAACACAAACACCAAGTGCCTCTAGATGCAATCACTGAAGCAATGCACTTGGATTCTCTCACAATCTCATAAAGATGTTGAATCTATGATGGAGATGAGTGGGACGGCTTTAGCTAAGCTCACAAGGTTGCTATATCAATGCAAATGGCCAAGAGTGTAAACTAGAACCGGCCAAACGATATTTATAGATACCCCCAAATAATAGAGTCATTGGCTCAATTATTGGGCTGACTGTGGGACGACCGGACGCGAGGCCGTAGGGGAACCGGTTGCATGGTGATCGCGGCAGGGATAACGGGGTCCCTCCGGAGAATTGGCGAAAGACAGTAAATAGCGAGTAAATAACAAAGTGTACATTACTCACAGTGGGGTTTGAGCAGAGCGTATGCTCGAAATGAAGCGCAGACGCCTCGCCGTTGAAGTCATCGGGTGTTTAGGAGCCAATGGAGGACGCGCCTCCTCCGATGGGCGCTAGAACAAGTGCCTCCTCATGAAGGTGCAGCACGCCGAGCCAGTCAGCGACGAAGTCCAGGCTTTCAAAGAGGAAGGCTTGGGATAGCTTGAAGACGGGTGGAACCCATATCCCAATAGGTGAGAGTGCGGGAAACTCCAATGAGCCGAAGCGAGTCGTATCGCTTGAGCCCGCCATGGCGAAGATGGCGGAAAGGTGGGCCATCCGATGACTAAAAGCGTGAACATACGGCGTCTTCCCCACGGACGGCGCCAACTGTCGGTGCAGAAAGTGACCAACACATAAATATTTGTAGTTTTATCATACATTGTGATCGGATGTGGCCTAGCACTCAATGACATAGGGCTTATACTGGTACAGGCAACGTGTCCTACGTCCAGTTTGAGTCGGTCGGTGACTTTATTCCTGAGTCCAGGTGCTCGAAGTTTGCTGTGAGGTTACAAACGGAAGGGAGTAAGATGGGGGGTGTAAGAGGTCCCGGTCGGACTCGGACTAAAGGGCTGAGAGTGATAGGAGCTCCTACGTGCGCTAAGTATTCGAGCATGTGCTCTGTGTATCTATGTGATTGATCGTCTAGGGAGTGGTCGTTGGATCGATCCTCTTCTGTTGGGAGAGAGCGCATCCATTTTAATAGATGAAGGGGACAGCCTGATAAGCGAGAGCGAGAGAGTACATATGCTACTAAGTCTTGTTACC